ATATATATATATATATATATATATATATACACACACGCACGCGCTGTGTGTGCGTGTGTGTGTGTGTGTGTGTGTAAATTGTATGTTGCTGTTAATGGAACTAAACAAAGCATTTAATAGAAAGGACCACAAATTTATTTATAGGCCTACAGTTTATAAAAATTTTAACAAACTCAACAGTCAATCAAACGTTTCAGCTTTGACTAACAGCCAATGGGAAATCTAACTCCTCCCACTCCCGTGTGATCATTGTCCTGGAGTTGAAAAAACTATTTAAGAGCCTCTGAAAAGAGAAAATGCAGCTACGTTTTCTACAGAGCATTAATATAAAGTTTAGTATTTGTTTACTGATCAGAAAAGCATAGTTTTGAAAATGGTAGATGCTTTCTGTGGCACATGGAAACTGGTCAGCAGTGAGAACTTTGATGAGTATATGAAAGCTCTAGGTAAGTTTTATCATAATATTATCAGTATTAATGCAGTTCATTATTTCTGATTTTTTTTCCCCCATTTATTATTACTGTAATTACAGACAGATCCTAAGGGTATTAAAACCCTGGTTTTAGTTAACAATGCATATGATTTTTTTCTAAGGTGCTGGGTTTGCAACAAGACAAGTTGGAAATGTGACTAAACCGACCCTCATCATCTCAAATGAGGGAGACAAAGTGGTCCAAAAAACACAGAGTACTTTCAAGAACACCGAGATCTCATTCAAACTGGGCGAGGAGTTTGATGAGACCACCGTAGATGACCGACACTGTAAAGTATGTTTAGAAGAAAAATATGTTTCATAACATGATTTAATGGGAACCACTGGGAACAATCCATTCCCATTTCAGAGCAGATGTACTCTGTCTGAAGCTTTCTGTCTGAGATGAATGCATAGTGATGTGTTCTTTTTACCAGTCCACTGTGGTACTAGATGGAGACCAGTTTGTTCATGTGCAGAAGTGGGATGGAAAAGAGACCACCTTTGTCCGGGAGATCAAGGACGGGAAGATGGTGATGGTAAGGCTCTTTACAGTACAGTATATTTTAAAGACTGTCCTTGTGAGGACATCTTGGACAATAGCTACACTCACCTTACTATATTCATAAAGTGTATTTAATTACTTGCTGATTTCAATTTTATTTTAGAAACTCACCTTTGGGGACGTGGTGGCTGTGCGTACCTATGAAAAAGCTTAAGTTTTGGGAATATTATGAGGATTTGTCCTTCTCCTTCAGCAGGCAGCAACAGCTACGATGTGCTTTGATGCTTTACGGAATGAAAAAAAAAACCGTTGCACTTAATTCCTCCAAATATATTAAAGCATGGACTACAAATATTTTTGATCCATTTTTAAAAAATACTTTTGAGTCAGTAGGCCTACGATTCATTTGAAATAAAGAACCAGACAAAAAGGATGGCTTGTGTGTTCATTTATGAGATTAATGTACATGTATTGATAAAGTGAACAAAGTACTAAATATCAGGTTGAGGAAAAGTTGTTTTTGTAATTTCACAATTTATTAATTTAAATTTCTGTTATTACATTTATACGACATAAATGTAAAATATATATTGTATAGTGTGTAGGCGATGACATTATGACAGGCTTTTGATTGTTTTGATTTTGATGTCCAATCAGTGCGCGTGTCAGCAGAAGGTTGCGCAAACAAAGCGTCACGTGAGAGCCGCTTGCTTTTCCTGTATTGGTTTACACAAGCGCGGTTTAATAATACAGACACTCGAAGGAATGGCTTTGCTCGTTCTGTTATTGTTTTGTCAGGTTTCTATCCTGCAAGTTTATGCTGCGCCGTTTAATAATGCCTTCAAACACCTGAAGAGCGCACGTAAGTGTTTCAGAGTCTGATCAGCTGTTACAGGCTCTTCATGTCTCATGAAGTTGGCTTTAAGTTGTTTTAACAGATGCCTTGTCCTTTCTCCTACTGTACAGAGTCAGATTCTTATACATTTACAGTGATCCATCTTAAGGGCCTGTTGTTTTAGTTGACCTGCTTGCAGTATGTGCTCTGTTTGAGACTTTTATTGGTTCAAAAAACAATAATCTCTTAACATCAAGGTGCATGTATTGATAGATTGTAATATACAGTCAAACTAAAAATTATTCAGATACCAGATAACATTTTTGATATTTTTTACTAGTGGGTGCAGGACACTATAGTTCATTTATGTAAGTGAGGATAGCAAAATAAAGTAAACTGTGACATATTATACCCAAAAATTCTTCATACAGTGGACTACCAGTAAAATTGATAAAAAATTTGGGACCCAAAATTATTCAGACACTTTGACCTGACCAAGTGTTATCTGACATTATCAAGATGAATTTGTTCTGACACAGTTCTTGTCATATTTTATTACCATTTTCTAAACTAGAGCGAATAAACTGTGATAATGTGTGAAATGTCTGAATAAAATTTTTTTTGACTGTATTTGAATATGAACATGTACGATGATGATGATTCTGCTGCATCATCCGATATATTATTGGGGGAAATAATTGTAAACATCTCGTAATATAGTTGCATATCTCAGACCTGCACTTGGATCCAACCTACCATGTCACAGAAGACCACACCAAAGTCTTCCTTGGATCCACAGCACTAAACAAAAATTATATATAATGTAAAGGTCAATAAAGTGTCCTTAATATACTGTAAAATCTAACATTCTAACAGTGCAAAATGACTCTTAATCAGGTTAATCTTCTCAAATTGAATGAAGTATAATGACAAATATAACCCTATTACTTAATTTACGTTAAGAAGAGCATATAGGCATTTAACAAATGTGCAACTGTGCTGAAATGAGATTTGGTGAAATGAGATTTTCTGTTCTCAAGAAAAAATATGAAAGATTATTTTCAGAATTTCACAACTTCAGAATTTTTCACAATTTAATGAGCAGGTATTATATATATATATATATATATATATA